AAAGTGAAGTAAGCACTAATGTGTAAATATTTTATTTGCACATAATCCACGGTTTCATCACGTCTATCTTCCACTTATCTACCACAAGAGTCACACTCTTTTGTAACCATCTATGGTTTTTCACATACCTTAACAGATAAATACCATGCTAAATCCCTATTTTTTAAGAAATACAGCACATTTCTATAAGATCCATTATTCTTCAGTCGATAACGTCCTGAATGCCCAGTTTTCACTTACTCTGATTTCTTTTTATGACTGTCAACCTTGTGCTGTCTATGGTATTTTTCCCCTCATTTAGAAAACAGCGCACATTATAAAGTTATGCGACTGAATGACCAAAAACAATACTTATTTTAATTGTTTAAAAAAAAACTTAAGACATTAAAGCCAAAACTACAAGAATATTGATCAAGATTAAAGGATGTTGGATTCATTTGGAAGCTAAATATTAGAAAGATCTCAGGACTTTTCCACCTACAGCAGATGGCACCAAACCTACATACCGCCATCACTTCCTTTAATGATAGAAATGAAGACTTTACTCTTATTTCTGTATCAGTGCTGATTGATAGTTCAGCTTTTAGAACTATGTACACCTTATTAAATCCACTTCTGCTGTGTCCATATGAGGCATGTTTGCCGCATGAAATTGCGATGGACTATGAAAACAGAAGTGATCAGATGAATATATCTCATCAATTAAAATGTGAATCTTACCACTAGTTTTCGTTTTTGTTTCAAGGATACACAATGCTGAGGTAATTAAACACAGCAATAGCTTAACCAAAGCACTGTGATATATTGAAGTCACATTTATAACAGTTCAAAAGCAGTAGTTTGTACACGGTGCATGAAAGCTTCAGCACTATGGTGTTAAATTGCTGCCAAAAATCAGAAAAGAGCAGGGGGAGCGTAATTTTTCTACAGACAGATGGGTAGAGGGGGCGTGTTTTTCTGCACGCGGTGCTGCGTTCAAGAGCACTCGAATAACCATACACGCCAGCAATCACAGTTTTGCACAGTTTCAGTTATTAAATGTGCACTTGTGATTAATAATTGGACTATGCGATTTTGTGGCAGCAATTTAACACCATACAGCAGTCTGAAGAAAGTTACCAACATGTGCAAAACAAGACATGGGAGCTTTGTGCTTAGCTTAAAATGTGTGAGCGACCAAGGCAAATTGCTGCTATTTATTCAGCCCTATTATTTTTTTCACATTATGTCACCTTACATCATTGAAATGAAAGCACAGATATGCAATAAAGGTAAAATATAAAGCCCTTTAGGTTAAAAACCCTCCAGTTGGATGTTACAAAATAGGATACATGTAAGAAAAACAATCATCTTACCAATTGTGAAATATGGGATCTACTTTATGCAGCTGTGCTCTAGTACATAACAAATAAAAAAGGCAAATGGATTTTAGCAGCAAACAGAAAATGGATCAAACCTGGGTATTTCAGCAGAGTATTTATACAGAACATATGATCAAGTACCACAGAAATGGTTCACCACAAAACAAGATAACTTTTTAGGTGTGCAAGCAGAGTTTACAAATCCAAATCCTTTAAATCCTGTAAGAATGGACCCGGGTTATGTAAAAATCTAAAGAGATTGTAACTGGTCTCTCTCTCTATATGCTCCAATCAAGGTGAAAACTGATTGCTATTCTGTTAGTAAAAAGATTGTTTGCACAGTATTGACAGCAGTGGTACCAGTTTGTGTGAAGCATGCTAATGTATATCAAAATGGGTATTTTATTTTAAACAGTAAGGTAGATAATCATGTTTATTGGAAACATATAAAAAAAGTAGACCACTGACTGTTTCAAAGCCACTCTGGTGCTATGTTTAGAAACAACACTGTAACGAGGTAAATGCACACTGCACAGAAGAGGCAAGGCTGCGGGATTTAAAAGAAGTGGTGGGTGGGAGGGTTCAGGAAGAGGGGGCACTGTGGGAGGGAGAGATTCACAGGAAAAAACCTGCAATCAGCCTAAATCCTGACAAGCATTTTTAAAAGACGGCTAAAGCCATACTCACAACAAAACAACCTGCAGTATTTTTGTGTTAAAACGGTTCAACAACAGCAGGAACCTGAATAACCAGAATTTATCCTCTATTATGTGTAGTTTTTTTTTTTTTTTTAGCGGTCCTGTCTTTCTTGCACCCGTCTCTCTGATGGTGTGTGAGCTCTAGCCAAAGGGGAGTGTGGCCCAGTTACCATAGGAACATGTTTACTAGCTTTTGCACTGCTCTCCATCAAACTACCTTCATTTATACTAATGCATTGAGAAATCTTATTACTGCACTTGTGAATGGATGGATCAAAATTAAAGATCCAGAGTTTCACAGGATTCGCTCCAGGAATGTTCCAAGAAGGTGAACCAGATATAGGAGCCACTGGCAATTTGGGGAAAAATACCAGCAAAATTAAAAGAAATAATAGAATCATTAATCTTATGGAGCTGATATAGTGACAGCTTGCATTTACATTGAGATGTGGAACTAAATAAATAAAATACTAAAAAATGGATATGGAAAGCCAGTGTAATAAATGGATGAAATTTAAAAAATTACAATTTGAATGTTTGCCTTTTCAATGATTGGCTATTCAAACTTTCCCTCTAAAAGAGTCAAAACTTTTCATGGTTATTTTTAGTCTTTAATCCGTTATGTTTCCATTTCAAATGTGCACAAAACTATGTTGATATTCTGCTAATTTCAAGAATGCATATTTTTGGGTTGGATAAGAAATACAATTTAAATTGCACATTAATTAATTTGTTCATGCAATAACTCCCAAAAACAACAGCGGCATTGGATGTAAAATACAATTTGATGGTCAAAGGAAATAAAGCCAGTGAGAGATGGATTTTAGTGTCACTAGCTGCATTTCATTAACCATCATATTGCGCATATTGTAGTTACAAAGCCAATTTCACTAATTAGAAACACGGCAATTTTGAAAAAGCCTTCACTTTTAGATTTAAAGTCGGAATTCTTACATTTCACAAAACTGCAGTGGAATCACTTTTTTTTTTACATCACTCGAGTCACGTGGATGTGAAAACTGGACCTTACTGCCTTATTAAAAGACTGGAAGTAGTTGGGGGATGATGGCGTCCTCTAAAGCCATGGAAGAAATATTCCATTCTATTCAATTTATTTATACAGTGCCAATTCAAAGCATGTTATCTGAAGGCACCTTAAATTGTCAATTCAATTCACATAAATCGCAATTGTTTAAATCTGCCACTGCCATGTTGTTTTTAAATTTTACTGTGTGAACAAACATATTCATGTGCAGTTTTAATTGTACTTGTTATTAAATATATCTAAGGCTCCTTCAGGGTCCTGTTTTTCTAATACTCGTCATCTATCCGCTGTAGACTAAACAAAACAACTACCACAGTTAGCAAAGTGTATGCTTCAAATTATAATGTATATATTTTTTTATTTGTATTAATTTGTTTAAAATTTCAGTGTTTAGTTTTTCAGGGTTTGATTCCTCAAAGCAAAATCTCACATTCAATGTCAATGCAATCTGTCACTGTTTTAGCTCCATAGAATCTCATTATACTGCTGTGCAGTCATAAGCATTTAAAAGTTGATTTTATATATATATATATATATATATATATATATATATATATATATGTGTGTGTGTGTGTGTGTGTTGATATATATATATCAACACAGGCCTTTACCTCTTTTTTTTAATGCATGATTTTTTTTCATATTTATAAAATAGGTTGTCACATTGACGAGATATTCTATGCTGGTAAGTATCAACATATCTGCTTATCTGTTTCAAATTTATTTTAGTATTAATATAATATTTATAAAAAATAAAAAGGTCAAATTTGATAATGAGTGACTCTCCAACCCTGATAAAACCTCCTGCTCTCCGTTTTTAAATGTGTATATTAACCTTAGCTGATAAGTGGAGATATTAAAATGATAGATTCATTTTTCTGTTTTTGTCATATCTTCAGATACATGTGGAAGTGAAGAATGAAAGCATTAGACCCTGGTCTATGTAATACATATGTCAAAATTATTTTTTACCTAGATCTTCAACAAAAGTTATTTTTTTACAGGGTTTGACTGTTAAAAAAAAAAAAAAGGTGGGACATCCCAGTGGGACACAGCTGCACTGTAAAAACTATATAGAAATAAGTAAGAATTACTTAAAATTAGTGTATTTAGCCTTAAATACATCAGGTAAATTTAATTTTTTTTTTTACTCTTCGAATAAGATTAGTAGATAATACGCACTTGAAATGAGACTTTTTTTTTTTTTAAAGAAAAAATTACTTATTGAGATTTAAATTTTTTGCAGTATGGTAATGGGATTTCATCCATCCTGCTGAGAACTGTATTACATAACTAAAATAAAAAGCTAAACACTTAAATGATATAAATTCCCAAACAGGGAATCTCTGCTAACATTTTTTACTTTGTCGTTTTAATGTTTGAAATTAAAAAACAACAGGTTTATGCGCTTTGTTGACTCTCCTGGAGCCAATAAAAGGAGATGCTTTGATCCATGGAGGAGGAGAGGAGAAAGACTCTGGGTCTATCAAAGGCAGTGCAGAAGAGAATGGAGCTATCAAACCCTGAGGATGGCAACATAAAACAGAGGGAAGTGTGTCAGTGTGGGGCTCAGAGGGAGCCTGATGCTCCAGTGAAGGATACAGGAGAGAGGAAAAATAAAATAAAAACAACCTTCAATGCATAGAGGTATTTTTTCGCTAAAAACATGACTGGGTAGTCATGACATGAAAAGCAAAAATCAGAAGTTCAATAAAAGCTTTCAACACTGTAAACAGAACAAACAGTAGCCTGGCAGTTACATATAAAAACACAGATAACGAAGAGAGCAAAAAACCTCGGCAGACCACAACGAACGGACTGAAGGACGAAGCTGGGAAACAACACAAAGCTGACAAGAGCAGAGAAGCAGACGGGTTCGTTTCTAGACTGACTCACTTGGCGTTAAAACTCCTGGTCCACCACAGCAAACCTCCGCTTGACCAACCAAGCCAAACTGACCCTGATGCGGCAGCCACGTCTTTGACGAAGTGTCCATGCAGCTATATGGCACAGACACAAGTAGAGTTTGAAATTTTAGTTTTAATAAACCAACAATCCCAACAGTGGTATTGAATGTTAGGCAAAATTAACGTAAGAAATTGGAACAAAATTATTGTTTTTTAGTTACTAAAAAGGAAACCATTGCACATTTTGTCACATTGCAACCACACATTCAATGTGCTTTATTAGGATTTCATTTGATACACAAAAAGTGTTGAATAATAGTCAGGTGAATGGAAAATAATAAATGGTTTGCACTTTTTTTCACATTTAAGATGTTAAAAGTTCTAAAAAGAATATTTAGTTCACTGACATGTTCAAGTTTTAAAACTATATAATTCAATGAAAAGGTAGATGGAGCTACACTGCAAAAAATCTAAAATAAGTCATCTTTTCTTTAAAAAAGTGTTTTTTTTAATAGAGGAGGAAAGTGAGACACTTTGCCAATGGAACAGGAAGATTTACATTTAAAATAAGAAAAAATAATTGCATTGTCTTATTTCAAGTGCATATTAACTAATTCTCATTTTAAGAGTAAAAATCCTCATTCCATTGACAGATCATCTTATTTTCCAACTCAAGTTAAGGGTAAATACACTTATTTTAAGATGTTTTTTCTTATTTCTAAATTCTTTTTGCAGTGTACATTTAAGGCAAACTTGGAAGAAGAAAAAATACTTGAATTTAAGACCGATAACCACCAGACTGTTACAGTCATACCAAAATGTTTCCCTAGATGCTAGAAAAAAATTAGATTTTGATAGAGTGATTCTAAATCTCTACTTTTTAGATGAGATGGCTAAAAAACAGCTTTGTTATTATTTTGACCATTTTTCATACAGTGATCATTTAGGAGAACTGGACAGCATCATAAGATGTTCAAAGAAAAATAGGTTTTATTCTACCTAAATATCTAAACACCAAGATTAAAGAAAGTTAAACATCTTTGTTAACAAATACTGTTTTCTTCAGAGAGAAATCCAGCTTAGAGTGATTAAACTAACAGTAACAATTCATCGCTCAATCCAGTATGTCTGAACCTAAGCTAATTTGCAAATAAAAATTATGAAACCAAGTGAACACTTCAGATTATTCATTGTAAGACAATAATTTTCTTTCCTATTCATATTAACCAACTTCAAGTAAAGTTATATTCAGAATTGTAGCTAAACTGTAAGTGTAACATGACTAAATCTGAAAAGGTTTTAAAGGGTTTGTATATTTTTGCAGGGCCCTGTACACAGATGCAAGTTAACCTTTTGCTTGTGGTGAGCATTAAATTCCTCTCACTAAAGTTAATGTTTACCTGATTGGGTTGGATGAAATAACTCCTTCTCAGAGGTATATTCAGTCCTGATTGCATCCTGAAACATCGTGTTTTTTCGTGCACAAGGTTTTTTCACATGCGGCCTTTTATAGTTGCCCTTTCCAAGCTAAATGTAATCAAGCTGTTCAACTACAATCTGCTACCATGATTAATTGATAAGCACTCCTACAGACACATCAGCAATGTGAGATTCCTCTCCTGCTGTAAGCAGGTGCTGGAAAACTCTCCACTTTGAATTCTCACTGATATCTGATGTGATTTTTGCTTTGAAAATAGCTCAATTACTTAAAAAAATTCACAAAAAATTAAAAGCAACATTCTTTTCTTTGCCTTCTGAGAACTCCAACTTCATAAATATTTTAGATGATGAATATTTTCTTTGTCTAGACCTGTGGTTCTCAACCTTTTTGAGTCGTGACTGCCAATTTAACCTACACTGCTGTCCACGACCCCCCCATCCCTACCCCACTTTGTTGCTACTGACTAAGAACTTGTTTTGAGTAATAAATTTTCTGTATGAGACCAATCGCTTGCTGTCCTTGTAATGTCTGGTCAGAATCCACAAATAATTTTGCACATATTTTTCCAAAGGGATTTGTCAACCTCTAGAAATCAGTTGGGGTCTGGGCCCCAAGGTTGAGACTGGTTGGTCTAGAGTAAAATTTAGATTTAAAGGTATAGTGGAGGATGTTCTTTTTCCTGCCGTATCATCAAAATAAATGGTCCTCCTAATTGTCAATCATTCTGTTGATATGTTTACATAAGGCCATCCTACGCGCTCATCCCCATTTTGACTTACCAGTTGTGAGTCTGACAATATGGAAAAATTCTAATCTTCTTTTGGAAAGTAAGCTTGTATGAGTGATGCAAAATCCAACTTTTAAACAGAGCGCCCATGAGGAGAAATGGGCTCATGCATGCTCTCCCACGGGTTTAATAGGGGTTCCCTCTCCTGAGCTGGTACTGGGTTGTGCATGTGCAATTTCTTTTTAAAGTGGAGAGGGCGGGTCTTTTCAAAAATTCGCAAAACTCCTCCACCATACCATTAAAATCTCCAAACTACACTGTGAGGATTACGGATTACATATATTGTCAGATTAAAATCTTCAATTGGATCAAAACTGTCTGAAGTATCTGTGAGGTTTTAGGTGTGAACTTCCCACTGTCAAAATTCCCACTACTATGAGATAAAAGGGCTCAGATTTTGGAGTGAAGGTCAAACATCCATCAAAGAGATTCAATTGTGAATGAATTGAAACAAACCTCGCTATCCATTTATTATTTTTTTTTTATATAACAGCTGATTCATTACAGAAACATTACATGATCATGTATAATTTCTAAGCTGCTAAATAAAGGGGTGAATGATATGAAAATATACATAAGATAAATACAGGTACATGATTGATTTCCACTATTATAAAAACATTTACTAGTTACAGTTTCATAATAGATCAGGTTAAAGATCAGTAAAAGGTTAAATAAACATCACCTTCTAAATGTACAAAAAGTGTTAAAAATTCAGCTTTAATCTCTGAAGCATAATTTATCCTTTCATCATGTTATCTAAGATTAAAGTTGGAGAAAGGAAACGGCTAGAATTAGAAAAAAAAGGATCGCAAAATTCTTAAAAACAGTCTGGAAAGATCACAAAATAATATAACCATTTATAGAAGGGTGGGACTCATATAAGATGAATGCCCTGAAATATTTTATACTGAATCTGCATCAATATTCACCATCCTCAGGATCCATTGTACTTAATATGATAAGTGTTAAATTCAAGCAACACTGAGTAGCTTGTAGCCACCAGGGGGCGCTTGACCTGTAAGTTCCAGGTTTAGTGCTATGAAAACAACTGGCAACACTGCAGTGTCACAGAATTTAATATTCACCTTCTGTGTTTTGAAATCTGATACAGACTACTTTGAACTATGAGAAGTCATGGAGTTATTTGCAAAATGAAGGTAACAATCACTCCTTTCAATTAAATCCTACATCAGAGAACCAGAAATATGTATAATCAGGTATGTATCATATCTGTAATGTTGCCTAACAGCAACTTTTATCTTAATTAGCTCTCGTTTTTAAGGGGAGCACAGACTTGGTCACATGACTGATTCAGCTACGTATCCAACTGAAGTTTTTGAGAAAGTCAGCCCAGATGGGGCAATAATACACACCAAGTGCTGTATATTGACCTAAAAATTATTTAACATATCGCAAATTTGGCAGATACTTGGGTCAAAAGTTACACAGTGCTGCTTTTAGTAGTTTTATTAACTTTACTTGTGGTCTACTGATAAAAAATATGGTTATGTGTTTTTAGTAAGTCATACATAAGAGCAGAAAATACCTCAAAGTTATTCTCATTTAATCGAGGATCAAATTTTGTCATATTTCAAATGGTTCGGCTGACCCAATGAGAACCATAATCCCAATTCCTCAAGCAAAATATGGTGAAACATGAAAAAAATAATGATTATGAGTTAGATCTGAACATATCTTATTATTGTTTGTCTTAATAGTCCTATTAAAAAATTTGTAAAATATTAGATTATATTTTCCTTATTCGGTTACTTTAGCAATATGGCCACAGTTTGCCCAAGTCTGCTCTGGTTGGTTTACCAAGCCCTCCTTCTCCCTAAAGGTGAGGACTGCTGAAGTATCAGAAACAGAAAATGCAGGAGCCAAATTAAGCCACAACACAGTCTGCTTACCTTAAAGTAAATATGCTAGTATGGAAAGCATCGTTAAAATAAATTTTTTTAAGTGAAGCTCCTACTTTCTTTAGTTTTAAAGTAGTTATTACTTCTAATCACCCAAGATCTTAATATCCCTCAGAGACTTTTATGGGAGTACCTTTTTATTTTACTCCTGTCCAAATCAGTTCGAACCTGATCTGAAGTCGGCAAACAATCCCAATGTCCTCAGTTAAAGTAACCCTCAGACCATAAGCCAGGATGGAGAACAGGTGTAAGAATCACAGGTCAAGAGAATCAGTAAGTCCCAGCCAAATTAAGGTGTTGTTCTTGTTTATAATTTTTCATTATTATTATTTTATTTTTATTTATTTATTTTTTTTTTTTGCTAAGGTGGTCTTCTGGTCTCCAAAGTGATTCAAAAATTTGAACTTCAAACTTCATTTTTCCTTTTCCCAGTCTCTTCAGCACAAGTTAACATTAGGCCATTAAACTCCAGAGACAAGATAATTAATCAATTACCCTAAAACTTTTTGGAGAAAATAATCCCTAATATCCCTTGGAAATAGACTGCGCACCTGTCCAGGGTGTACCCCATCTTTCTCCCATAAACTGCTGGAGATAAGCACCAGCTCCCCCATGACCCTGATGGATAAACTCAGGAAGATGAATAGATGGATGAATAATCACTAATTAAAGAAAAAAAAATTATTTTGTTTCTTTTTCCTATTTAATCATTAAAAATATATACCTCTCTGTGATAGACAATATATGTAATCCATAATAATCTCTGATTAACCAAAAGGATGATTAATAAAATATTTAAATAAAAAAATCTTTAGACCCTCTTTCCTTCTTCTAATTTATATATCAATAGCAGTATCAATATCAATTTATATTATTATTATTATTATTATTATTATTATTATTATTATATATCAATATCAATAGCAGGGTGTATTTTGAGTTGGCCAACAATAAGAATTAATACTTCCACAAGCCAGTCAAATTGGTTGGAAAAGAAGGTTTGAGAAAAAGTAGGAGGGTCAGTTTTAAAGAATGATGACAGAATGATTATTAGTGGCCAAATGCAAAAGAAAAACTTTTTAAGGAAACTTCAGGACTGAACTTTGTTTAGATAAGTTTCTGAAATTGTAGTTTCAGAGGAAATTCAACCGGAATGACAGATCCTTTTTGTTCTTGGCAGAGCGTTTAAGCTCCATCCATGCGTTGCACTGACAATGGCTGAAGAAGGGGAGAATTATAACGGAAACTCAGTGTTGGAGGAAAGTCAAAGCTCTGCCGGCTGTCAGACTCTCAGCTGACAACTGCAACGGAGCGGCGATGGAGTCCACATTCTCAACCGTTTGCAACAAATTGAGAGAAATCAATTGATGTCAGTGATTCATGCCTTTCTAACCAACAAATTCACTCTGCAAAGGGATGCATGATATTCCAATAGTCATTCCATGTGAAGTAGAAACAGAAGATACAGCTGGGGGGCATGAGTTAAGAGTTATCTTGCTCCATTACAAGCAAACGTTTCATTAATAAAAGAGGTATCCACCCCTCTTCAGTGTTTTTTTTTTTTTTTTTTGGTTAAGATGAGAGTATCCACTGTGTACAATAGCAATTCTACATAATGGGCCATGAAGGTTACGGCATCCATACAACCAGAACATTAACTACATCTGACGCCAGCTGAGATGGATGAACTCTATCATGGCAGAGAATAAATAATTCACTGACCATCCAAGGTGCTTATCTGGTAAAACATTTTTACAAACTATGACTCAGTTATTCCCTCTGAATCACCACCAGAATGTATTTTGAAAATAAACCATTTACTGGAAAACAACCCTAGAAAAAACATATTTTGTTGCTAAGTCTAAGTCAGCTATTTCACAGATAATAAGATGATCAAGGCCTCCTGTTGTTTGTACAGGTGTAGGTAAAACTCCCCTGAGAAAGATAATTAGTAAACTATATGTAGGAATTAAGAGGGCTTTAGCATCCAGCTTGAGGCATCATGCATTACATCATATATGTAAATAATTAAAATTATGCATGAGGTACAGTGGCATTTAAACAAAGTAAAAGGCAAGTACAAGAACACAACTTTTAAATGAGACTTTTCATCATAATTTTTAAAGCTCTATTACCTAGTGTAGAGCATACATGAGGTACAGACCAAGTGTTTCCCTTTTATTTGGGGGTGGCAGTAGTGAGCAATGTGTCTTAAATAGGTATAGAGGGTAATGGTGGATGAGACCACAGATCAAACCTGCATTTTACAGCACAGAGAGATAAGTTTGCTTTTGTTTTTTTATGGTCAACTGGTTGACAGTAACCTGTATTTGTCTCTGCCTCCTACTAGAGGAAGAATAAATGTTCTGAGTTGTATCCTGCTCAACTATTGGAGTAAAGGCTGGACATGAGGTTTATGTTCACCAGAAATCTCTGATTAGGAGACATTGTTTCTGGGTCCACCTAATGTTTTTCAAGGCTTCCTGTGAAGAATGTTATAGTATCACTTATTCTTGAACAGACCTCAGTAGTCATGTCCATTCATCATGAAAATAGATTCCTCCTGCTTTTGAAAAAGTTTTTTTTTCTTTTTTGTTTGCATAAACTTCCAACAAATATTGATTGGAAATGAAAAGGTTGTCTAAATTGTAGTCATTTAGAAACTTTTCCCCTTGTTCAATAAACACTTTTTGTTTGGGCTACAACTGGTGTTGGCTTTTTACAAGACTTACATATTCCTGAGAGCAAATCAATTATAATCATAATTTTAAGTTTATGAAAGAGACATTGTAGTTAATTTCTTCAATTTCCTTTTGTGATTAGTAATAACTAATGGTGCAAAAATTCCTTGTCTTTGTATCTAACATCACATTATCCACCTCCAGCAAAAGAAATCACCAGTCTAATAAACAATTTATATGCTCTGAAAAATCTAAAAGCTCAATATCTAATTCATATTAACTTCATTACTTATTTTAGTAGCAGTGGAACCAACAAGCAAATAATTGCCTAAAATAAAAGGTGATGATCCAGTTAAGATTACACCAACTCAACTGCACTGTTAAAGTTCACAATTTCCTGCATATGCTTTACAAAAGACCCTTTGCTTACATGTAACAAAAGAGGGTCTGACATGTGTGACCCCGATTCACAAAGCTTCTTAGGTCACAGGAAAAAAGTAGACCAAACTGCACTGACCCGCACTAGAGAAGGACTATCTACATCCGCTCTCCACATACAGGCTTGTTTAACACCTTCCTCAGAGCTGCTGGATTCAACACTCCTTAAACACCTAACAGTGAGACTAAGCATTAATGCAAGGCACTTTTTTTTTCTCGGAACACACCCACGATTTGGCACTTACCCAAAAAAACAGGACTTTCTGGAGAAGAAATCAGAACATCTGTGGGTGCAGACTGGATCCAGGTGGGTCTCCAGGGCACTTAGGGTAAGGGGGGGAGGGTTATGAGGCTTAACTCCTTGTCGATGCACAGAAGGAATCAGTTTGTGAAGGCATTACAGAGACGCTGATCCAGGTATAATCTCTAAAAGCTTGAAGTTTTTCATTCATTAGGCCAATTCGTTGTGTTTCACTGCTGCAAACAACTCTTGATCCTCACCTGTGCTGCAGTGTCCATAACTGTTTCTGTTGAGAGTGACAGCTTCTGAGGGGGGGAGAAAAAAAATGATGCTGATGCTGTGACAGGAAAACCCTTCACCTCCAGCTCAGTCCATCACTGAAGCCACAGCTTGCCTGCCAGTGGCGGCTCAGCTGTTCTCCTCTGCTTCTCTTTCCTGTCTTCCTCCACTACTCTCTGTTCCCCAACGAAATGCAAAGCAATCCCTGCGCAGCTCGCACGGTAATGGAGACAATCTCCCTTTTTTGTCATCTTAATTGTTTGATCATGAGACTCCAGGCTGCCCCCTCCTATATCTGGGAATAATCTCGCCTTACAGCTGCAGAGTGGTTTATATTTTTTTCCACACACCTGAGCGTAAAAAAGGCATGAAACTGTGACAAGTGCTCATGCCGATTACATTAGAATAAATGTTACTAATCAGATGGTGATGATGATGATTGCAGTGATTGCCAATAACTCTGAGCTGGAAACAGCCCCGCTGCGCGCCCCAAACCCCCCAAAAAAGCGTCCGAATGCAAAGAATATTCACAGAAAAATGCGTACCAGCAAATCAAATGAAAATCGCACTCATGCACGAATGGTAAATAGATTTTTTTTGTTTTGTTTTTTTTTGTCTAATCGTGATCCTTTCTTCTACCTCAGATGATGGTTTAATCTTGGCAAGCGTCTGCAGCAGTTGGCGCACAACGACGTCCCCATAATCCAAAGGAAAAATGCGATAAGAAAGAGGACAGGATCTGGTTGTTAATTGATGCCGAAATGACCCTTTTGAGCGCTTCCAGTCGCACCTGATTTAGATTTAACGGCGAAGCTCGGAGGGAAAAAAAAAATGATCTCTGCTCGGAGAAGGGCGGAGATGGTGGGCAGGAACCATGCAACGCCTCCAACGGTACCCGGTCCGCTCGATTCAGAGCCAGCTGGAGAGGAATTATTCAATCATTATTCTCACAACTCAATATATAACTGTTTACGGAGGAAAATAAAAAAGTTAACTGATTTTAAATTGTATTTCAGTGTAATATGGGAAAAGAGTCAGAATTCCGACTTTAATCTCAGAATTCTGACTTTTTTCTTAGAATTCTGACTTTTTTTTCTCAGAATTTTGACTTTTTTCTTAGAATTCTGACTTTTCTCATAATTCTGACTTTAATCTCAGAATTCTGACTTTTTTTTCCCATATTAAACTGAAATTAAATTTAGATATCAGTTAACTTTTTTTTTCCATTGGCCCTAATCCAAATAAAGGAACAAACAAAGTTAACATGAGCTAACGGATATCCAGCTGTATTAATGAGGAAATCATCTAAAATTCAGTTCAATTCAGTTTATTTATATAGCGCCAATTCACAACACATGTCATCTCAAGGTACTTTACAATTCAACCAGATCATACAGTCGAATTGGTTCAAAGTTTTCTATCTAAGGAAAACCAGTTGATTGCATCAACTCATTGACTTGAATGCAATTCCTCACACTGAGCATGCTTGTGGTGACAGTGGAGAGGAAAAACTCCCTTTTAACAGGAAGAAACCTCCAGCAGAACCAGGCCCAGTGTGAGCGGCCATCTTTTGAGGCCGACTGGGGTTCAAGGAGACAGAAGCAGAGATACAAAAAGCAGCTGTAAAAGGCGGCCCCATCCAGGAAACACACAGCCAGGCAGACGAGCTCCGAGCCAACTCCCATGTCAGATGATGAAGAGAGCACGTCCAGCCAGTCACAGTCAGAGAAACAGGACTACACTGGAAAACAGGCAGATCTCCAACATCTATAAACAAAGGTGTTGATGGCAGCAGCACAGCTGATATTTCAAATTTAAAATTCCGTTTGTTCATTTTAAAGTGTATCAATTACAAACTAATTTAAAAAAGCCATTAGCTACTAAATAAAGGCACATTACTAGAAGGTTGAATGAAGGAAAATCTTTGTGGTGTTATGTTGTCCCTGTTGTAATTGTTGTGGAAATGTCAAATGTATGTTTTCTAATTCTCAACTTTTTTTCTAATTAATTTTGTTATAGGCTACCGTTATTGATTAAATTCTTGTTATGGTTGTTGTTATTGTTGTTGCTACTATTAATAATATTGTACTAGTTAGTATTATTATTATTACTGGTAGAGATGCTGGAAGCAGGTGGGAATTTGCCATTAGGCAATAATAGGCAGTTGCCTAGGGCCCAAGTTCCTGGGGACCCCATAAAATTCTGTCAACATGTATGGTTAATAAAATTATTCCTTATTGGTGCACATTAATGAATGTTCAGACAGCAGCAAGCCATTTGAAAACAAACTATTCGAAGAGCAGTGTTGCGAACTTGGTGCCTTTTTCGCTTTTCAGACCCCTCTAGCACTTTTATTTCAAAAAAGCGCCTAGTGCCAAATCTAGCGACTTTATCCTGCTAGTTGAGACTTTGGTGACAACATATAAAGGCACCGAACTCTGCTCACCAGAGCAAGTAGATTCGTAACCCCGCCTCCTGCTCTACTCTATCTTGTCTGCTGTCCTGATTCATGTAGCTATTATTTAATACAAATTAAAAATGGAGAACAGATAAGCAGATCATGGCTTGTCTACAATAAAAGAAGGACTGGGTTATTTAGTTTGCTGTCAACTTTTTGGAAACACAGGAAGGAGCAATCAGCTAAGTGAGGTTAGTGCTTGGAAAAAATCTTTCATTCCCTTTGAGACAGCATGAACACTCAGCTAAAATCAGGAAAACAATAAGAAAAGGGACAAGAAGGTCCTTATCCTAAAATTAAATCAGAATAAAATATCTGTTTTGTGAAGATATATACAATTTCAGAATGGATAAATCAGAAAATTCCAAAGCAATACGATAATATTAGGATTTAGGGTGAAGCATAAGAATTTACCCTTTGTACTGTAATGGTCCTATAGGGGATGAATTTCATGTTTTACTTGAGTGCAACAATTTATAAGTTGTTGATTTTAAGCAAAAGCAATTGCAAAATGTTACAGGCAGCAACCATTAAAATATGCTTCTTCAGTCTGACCAACCAATATAAATTGGGTTCTTTCTTGAAACGCGACTTGTCTCTCTTTCAGGAAGTTCTGCCATTGTTGAATTTATATTTCTTTTTGTTATCATGTAAAGTTTGACCTTTATACCAATAAAAAAGAAATGCATCTGTAGATCTAATTATTGGTCTTCCCTTTTGTACAAATTTTCTTGAGAGCTCACATTACTCCAACAAGTCCATGAACATGGCTGCCTAAAAGTTTACTTGCTACAAAAAGGGAAATAACAAAACTAAAACAACCCATTCTGTGACAGGAGGTACATCCAATTTCTAATAACTAGATCCCAAGGGTGCTGAAAAGCCGCGGGCTCACTGTGTAAAAAAAAAAAAAAAAAGATTTGCCGTGAGTTCATCTCAAGTTTGTTATTTAAGAAAATTGGACTCAGCCTGAGAAACCCTGCACTGAGTCTCAGTATCTGCTTTCAGATTAACTCATGTCTAGTAATGTGCTGTTTAAATGCAACAAACTCTACTGAGAATTGTGTCTATCTATAGGATAAGCTAAAAAACACTTTCTTTACCAAATCCCTAAGCTTTATAATAGACCAACGCAAAATGGAGACTAATTCCAAAGTTAAGGGATTTGATAGAGGCCTGCCAGATATATTTACATTATAAAACTGAAAAGTGTAAAAACTGCAATTTTCAAATCCTCTTCCTTTTAATGACATGAAACATAATTCAGTGCAACCAAGTAACAGAATATGACACCTCATTAAAAAACAGAGTCTACCTGAGTGTGATTCAATCTCATAAATCTAGCTGTTCTGCAAAAACCTCAGGGGTGGTTGAAGACTGCCAGAAATATGGACGTTTGCCTAGAAAGACTTTGGCAAGGCAAATGTTATTCAGAGCAGTAGCCAGTAGCTCAATCAATTGAGCAAATATAAATCAAGAACTCCACAAATCTGAAGGCAAAAAATATATAGAAGAGTGTGCAAGAAGATGACCTTTGTTAACTTTGTTGCTTTTTACCAAAAAACATGCAGTGCAGGAACCGAATAACAGTTCCTACCGTGAATTATGATGGTGGCAACATCATGCTGTGGAGATGATTTTCTTCAGTCGCATCAGAAGGCTTGTTCGAGCTGTGCAAGCTAAATATAGGACATTACATTTTCATAAAATATGACAGATTTAAGCTGCTGTATGTGGAACAGAGAATGTTTAACAAAATCCCTTTTAATAAATAATAATAATAATTGAACAACATTGATCTGACAATGGAGAAATTCATCCCCTTGGGGAGCAGTGGGCTGCTACTGCGCAGCACAATCAGGGGTGAAGGGTTTTTGTTCAGGGACCCTGAGCGCAGGCTATGGGGTTCAAACCGGGTACTTGCAACCTTCTCAAAGCTCAAGCGCTGTGCTCTAACCCACTAGGTCAGGTGTAACCAATCAAAATGATCAACCAGTAAAGATCCGGAGACGCTTTTAATTCAAATCCGTTACTTTAAACAGAATTTAACACTGAAATAAAATGAGCTATTTATACATTAATTTTATACATTGAATCGTTGAATAAAAAATAGAAAAAAAAATTGAAAATTTTTCAATTTTAAAATCTAGAGTGTTTTTTTAAGTAAAGAACAGCAATCGTTCAGTTTGATATATAGACAATTTCCTGATTCACATATCTTATAAAACACCTGAACTGACCGTTTGTTATTTTTCTTTCTTTATTATGGCTTGATGAGAGCAGTAGGCTTTATGCTGACCTGCAAGGCTTTTAAAACTGGGTTTAATGGTCCTATTCTCAAGCACATATCAAGGTGCTCACTCGTGAGCCTGGATCGGTATTTATTTTTGATTATGTTCATGGTGGGGAATCTTGCTTCACAGCAGTAGGTTGAGCCAAACATACTCTAAATGTGCAGGGTCCTCTTCAAGCACACCATTTCACTTTTCTTTCAATAGTTCAATGCACTTCTTCCAGCAATCCACACTTTCTCTGCTCTCTCTTTTTCTCATCGTTTTCTCCTTCTTTCCCATCGCCTGGCTTGCGACAGGTTTAGCTCGCAGCAGCAACCCAGACTGACACAGCTCATTGGTTAATTTTTATCATGTGTAGCCTGGTGCCGGACGCTCCAGAGGTATTTACCATGTTAACATGAGAAGCGGTGCAAGTAAAGTTAGACAACACGCAGTAATTTATAAATGTTTTAAATAAGGTTGGGTCCAGATTAGCCATCAGGTGGGGAAGGATCCGGACCCTGGTCCACTAATACGTATCCTCTGCCCTAGACCAACACTCCTCTAATGTGCAAAAGACTTAAAGTTGTAAGTTCGGCAAGGTATAAAATCCTGGAGACAGTTTTGTGATTTTACATTTAAAAAATTATAAAAATGTTTGTGGTTGTTGCCTGAAAAAAAAAAAAAACATGAATATTTGTTTGAGATACTTTCTTTCTCCAAATCAGCCCTTTTATTTTAAGAAAGACAAACTGATTTCATCGTCTGCAGAACTAGTGAGCAGATCCATTATCAGTACGTTTTCTTTACACATCAGACAAAACCAACAAGGCGTTCTTGATGGATTATCCTTAAGACTTGCAGCTGGGAGCCCAGAATGTGCGATATTTGTGTAAAATAAAAATGTTCAGTAGGCAGGGTGCTTGATTTTTCACTTGGTGCTTTGTGTCTTCCAAGAATCAGTTTTATTTTCAGTTTCTGGATCTGAAGTCTCCTTTTTCATTTCAGCGCATTTATTATTTATCAGGTTATTTATTATTCATATTGTTTAAGATAAACCAAATTCATTATTAAGGTAAGGATTTAGTGTCCAACATTAACTCAGACTCAATGAGAAATACATTCAGTGTCTCTAAAGACCCTTCAGAC